GGGCGGGGGGTGATCCCTGCTGCCCCCCACTGCATGGGGGGCTCTGCATGAGCCCTCTGCCCCCCTTGCTCCCCCAGCCTCCCCATGGGTGCCTTGCCCAGGCCAACTCCAGCCCTTTAAGAAAAAAAAAACCCGAAACCCCCCCACACACACCACTCCTGGCGATGCGGGGTGATCCCTGCTGCCCCCCACTGCCCTGTGCCACGTGGGGGGCTCTGCATGAGCCTCCAAAGCCCTGAGACTGCTGCAGGAGTGGTGTGTCCTGGGGCTTTTCTCAGCTTTTTTTTATTTCTTAAAGGGCTGGAGCTGACCTGGGTGGGGCACCTGTGGGGGGAGTGAGGGAGGTCAGGGGACTCGTGCAGAGACCCCTGTGCAACATGGGGCAGCAGGGATTGCCCCTGCTTGGCAGGACCCAGTGAGCACTGGGGCTTTTCCTTAAAGTACCGCTAGGGCGGGCGGGCAGCCATGGGGGGAGCGGGTGGAGGTCGGGGGGGAGCTGGGGGACCATGGGGAGACCTCTGGCAGCCCCCCCACCAACCAGTTAAAGCCGTTCCAGCAGAGATCTTAGGCATGGCAGAAGGTGTAGGGAGGAGCCAGGCAGACAGTGTCATGGCAGAACCTGTTGGTCTCCCTTGTGACAAGATCAGTGAGATTGTGTTTTGTCCTGCAGGGATACGAATCAAAGTGGGTGAAAAAATGGCTCTGTTTGGGAAGGCACAGGGTAGATCTGAAGCAGTAGAGACCATGTATAGAGCAGAAGGTCTGCATGGGAACCAGACACAAAAATAGGCATAGAGCAAGCAGATGCTGGTGGATGGTAGGATGGAGTTCCAGTTAACACAGAGGAGAAGAGAGGGATCCTGGAAAAAAGGGAAGTCAGCTGCTTGATGGCATAGGGGGAGGGGTTGCTGCAGCATGACCTGAGGTTTGGGAGAACTTGGCTTGTAGGGCAGCAGGAGAAGAGGTTCAGGATTTTGTTCCTGTGTGGTAGGGGATGATGTCCATCTCCTCCTGGATTCCCTCTGCTAAATGAACATGTTCTTAAATGGCAGCTTAAGCTCTATAGTCTAGCACACAAGCAGAATACCTGAAAGACCTGGGGAGGATCTGGCCCACCCTGTGCTGAGATTTCCAGCAACCCTGGTCACTGGCAGATATCAGTCTCTGTATCAGTAAGCCAGGGTTTTTTTCACATGCTCTAAACTGTGTCAACAAAGATGGGCTCACAGCAGGATGTTCAGAGACCTTTCACTGTGTCTTTTAAAAATAGTCTATCCTCACATGCATGGCACAATTGTGGTGGTATGCTAGGATTCTGTAGCCCACTCATCCAGAGTGCCAGTAAGTATGAAGTGCCCGTGTGTGACAGGAGTACCTCTACTAGAGTCTTTCTATCAGTGACTCCGCCACCCTGTTATGGGCCAATCGCCTGCTTACTCGCCTGCCATGCCTTGATCTTGATTAATTAATGGATGTTAATTAGTGGGAGACTGCCCATTTCATCTGCCCCGGTGCCAGGGAGCGCTATCTGTGGCTCCTTTTCCTCCCCTACACCGCAGCCGAAGCCTCGCAGATGACACTGACGTAGTTTGATCTGGGCCCTGTTGTGATTTGGCCCTTCCCTTGTCTTCCCTGGGCTTTCCACTGCCCTGTCTCATTCCGTGCCTTCCTGGCGCTCTACTGCCCCCTCGCTCTGGGGCTTCTCGCTGCCCCCCCTTGCTCTGGGGCTGGGGCCAGTGCACCCCAAAATGCTCCACCCTCCTTGGCGCCAGGGTCTCCATGTCACTGGGGATCCCCTATGGGGCCTCCTCCAAGCAGAGCAATGTGTTACCGGCAAGTGAGAGGGTAAGAAATCACAAAGTTATAGGCAGTTTTGTGCTTCCCCATTATAGCCTATGGGCGAAGCATTGAAACAGCAAAAGTTTTGACGAAACAAAATGTAACAGTGCTTTCAAAACCAAGCAAAACTCAAAACGAAATACTGTCCTGTCGAAATGGTGAAACAGAAGTCGAAACGAAATGGTACTGTTTTGCACAGCCCTACTAGCTTCAGCTTCCAGTCACTGTCTCTTGTACCTTTTATCTGCTAGACTGATGGAGTCTTGTTCCCTTCCCAGTGTTACTTGTAGCCAGTGATTAATTCACCCCTTTATCTTTTTCTGTTAAGTTAAACAGAATTGGGAAACCTACCTTACATAATCAAAGGCACAAAGGCTCAGTTTGTTAATACTTTGCCACTTGCCATTAGGTGGGATACAGGCTCCAAACAAGGGCCTACAAAGGGAAGACAAGTAAAATCTGATTCAGTACCTGCGTTATTATTAAAAGCAGTCTCTGTAAGTGAGCAGGATTTTGCAGTTTCCAAAATGTTTAGCTGCGGGTCTACACAGACTTTTCAGGTATTGGCTTGTAGAGGAAAAAAAAGCAGGAGATCTGTGGTAGTATTTGGGAAAGGGGGCTGGGAGAGAGACCTGGCTGGAGTAATGGAAGAAACAGGCACAGAGAATGACATGTCCCTCTTCATTTTTCCAGGTATTACCGATGTGACCGGAACCTGGTGTGGAATGCTGGAGCTCTGCATTACAGTGACGAAGTGCAGCTAATAAAAGGGCTCACCCGTATGCCCGATGACAAGGATGACCTGAAGAGGAGAGTGTCTGAAGTGAAGTATATTGGGAAGGGCACCTACACAGACTGTGCCATCAAAAGAGGGATTGAGGAGGTGCTGATCAGGTATGTGAGAAGAATGCACTTATGCATAATGTTTGAAAGATATTGCAGATGCGTAGAAAAGGGAAAGGTTTGGTCTTTTTCTGGTTCACAGTCATTCTTGGCTAATCTGCTGGCACAGTACTCAATATGGCTGTCTTGTGTTAGCGCTGTGTCACTAGGCAAGTTTGAAAATGTTCCCAGAGGGTCCCGGTAGTCTCATTTCAGCAGTAGTAGCCCCCTGCGTGCTTTCCTTTTCATTTCTCTCAGCTCTTTTGTTTTGTTTGTTTTATTTTTTTGCTCCTGTGCCAAAAACATTCCTTTAAAGCCCCGGGTGATCCTCAGCTGGTGTAAGTTTTATTGCTGCAGTGGCACTTTACACTAACAAAATATTTTCTCCTTTGTCTCAATTCGCTTAAACTGGTCTCCAGCACCTGGAGCAAAATTTTATGAGTGTATCCATTGTGGGTGCCATCAGTTGAATGTGCCATCAGATAAAATAAATTGAGCCTGCATTTAATTGTAATGAGAAATTGTTCAGGCTGCTTTTATATCTTCAGCAGATGTAACTGAGCTCATGGCTCTTGGCGCTTCTCATAGGGTTGAGTCTCAAGTTTCCATTTCTGGGTGGAAAATTCCTCCTCTTAAAATCCTTCATTTTCATTGCTGAATTTACTGTAGTTCCCTGAAACTGTAACTGGGATCCATTGTGCTACTTACCATATGAACCTACAGAAAGTGGTGGTCCTTTCCCTAGACAGCTTGCAATCCAAGGCCTGGTTTTACATGGTTCTCCAAAATAGAAAGGTTCACTTCCGGAGCTCCACCTCCAGTCTGGGGACTGAGGTGCAGATAAGACCTAAGTGAAAGTAGCAAACAGTAGGAGAAGGAGATTTGCTATGTCAGTACTGAGAACATGGACTTCTATAGCCCTACAATATGCAAGGTTCAAGATGACAAAGCAGTAATTTAAACTAAATCAACATATGTTTATTTGAAACTTTTCAAATGTCTGTTTTTAGAAATGGTTACAACTTTTCACTTTTTCTTTCCAAAAGGTCAGTTTCCCTAACTTCCCTCCTCATTTTTTGTGCTTTTCTGTGTTCTCCTGGACTCTGGGAGGGAGGGAGGGGCTCACAGGGATGAGGATTGGCAGGGGGGATAGGCAGTCAGCGGCACAAACCAATTTAAGAGGGCATCAACATCAGTAACAAATACCACATTTCAGGCTGTTTTTCTTGCAACAAGTCCAAATCTGGGCTGATGTATTTCCTGTGGCTGAAATAGTAGCTCAGATCAGAGCTAACAGTTATTGTACAATTGCTTTGTTCTAGAAAGGGATAAGAATACCTTTAAACTTTGTCACTAACTTACTGAATTATTGAGGTGCAAGGTGGGATTGTTTCATTGTGTGGTTCAGGGAGTGAGCAGGTGATACCTAAACATAGATAGGGATAACCACGCATCTGAGACACAAGCCTCATTCTCTAGAGGAGATTGAATTTTCACTGGTCTTAAGGACAGCTCTTAGCAACAGAACATCCAATTTGCACATAGGTGTACACATGAGAGCCCACCACTGGCTACAGCTTAAACGATAGTGTGACAGAATTCCTCCAACCACCTAAACCAACTTCTCTGGTGGTGCCTCAGGCTGCCCAATCAGGCTAGATATCATGAGGCACTACTTCACTGTCAGGGCAGCTAGGAGCTGGAACCAACTTCCAAAGAAAGTGGTGCTTGCCCCTACCCTGGGGGTCTTCAAAAGGAAGCTAGACAGCCACCTAGCTGACCCCAGCATCCTTTCCTGCCCATGGCAGGGGGTCAGACTAGATGATCTGTTTAGGTCCCTTCTGACCCTTCCAACTATGAAACTATAGGAAAGGTGTGAGAGACTCTGAGCCAGTATTGGCTGCCTAGAGCCTTGTCACCCAAGAGAGAGAAATTAGAAGCTGAAACTCATTGCTTTAGCAGTAGCTGGGCTGAAGGTATCAGCAGAAAGAATACAGAATTGCCATGATGATCTAGGGTGATTCCCACCATTGCAAGTCTGACCAAGATGTCACAAAACTTGCATTTGGTAAGTTCTACTGCTGTTGAAGGAGGAGATGCTCTTCAGCTTCTTTGCAGGTTTGCTATGTTTTCTAGATCAAAATGGGGAGGAGGAAGGGAGGCAAAAAAGTGTTATTTTTGGCGCTCTCAAGATGAGGATTTACCTCCCCTCATTTTAGTGCAGCTTGGCAGCTTTTGCTGCTAGGACTTGGCTGGAATCCCAGCAGGAAGCAACCTCTCCAACTAGGTGTATGTTATAGGCTGTGAGGCCATTATTAACAAAATTGGCAGAATTGATTGTGTGAGGTGACTAGATTCCCATCAGCATTGTGTTGAACCCATCAGGAAATTCAGGCATTTGACTGCCATTTTTTTAACAGAATACTGTCAATCAATGCTCAGTGGCAAGCAAATAGTTAAATAGGTGGTTGGAGTAGGCCTGGAAACAGGACTATTACTCAAAGCAATGTGCATGTAGAATTCAGGTCCTACTTGTTCTTTTTGGCCTTCCAAAAAAAAGCAAACACTCTTATAATAAGATCTTTCAGCTAGGGATAGACATTACACATAAACCGGTTTAAGTGATCAGAAACTGGTTTAAACATGTAACAGAACATAAGTTCAGTGCACATAAACTAGTTTCAAAGTGGCTGAAACTCATTTAAAATAAATCTGGTTGAATGTAGTATCAGACTTAACTGATTTGGGTCAAACCGATTTATGAAACTTCTGTTCCAGATCCCTTCCTGGTTCAAGTTAAATTAGTCTTCCAGCATCTGAGCATGATTTCCAGCCCTGGACTGTGTTTTCTCCTCCAGCAGAGAAGGGATGGGGGTGGGGGAGGAGAGGCAGGGATTTCTCCCCCTTCCTACTCCCCCCCCCCCAGTAAACCCCGGCTGGGGACTGGGGCCAGGGAAAGGGGTTAACTACCAGTTCCCCTGCTCAAACTTACTGCTGGCTATGACTGTGGACTACAAATCCCAAAGGCACCTGGAAGCAGGAAGAGGAAATGATGAGCATCTCTGTACAGTCCTACTGTTGTGAGTCTGGACTGCAAATCCCAGAGACCTCTGGGGCATCAGGAAGAGGAAACAAGCACACAGCCCATACTGGCTATGGCCAGAGAGCCTTGTTCTAGCACCTCCCAGCTTCTGGCCATAGACACTGCAGGCATGGGTCTGGATTTCCTGAATCAAAAGTAAATGTGTGTCCAGTTGTTTCTCAGTTTAATCTCTGCAGTTTAGACTAATCAGCAAAGACTCAGGCTTTTTGACTGGATGTACTAATGCCCAGGTCCAACCCACTGAGGAACTCGAGAGAGAGCAGAGCAGTAAGACATCCTGCAAAGGCTGTAGCCTATAGAATAGGCTAAGTGACTGTAGGCAGGAATGAGAGAATTGTTTGAGATATTTGAAGTTGGAAATTTAGAAACTTAAATAAGTTACAACTGCAAAAAGAAAGGACAATGATTCCATAGGAGCCAGTTGGTGCAAACATTAATGGTGGTAGAGTAAATGGATAATTACTTACCAAAAATGGAAATCCCCAAATAAAAGTATGGGTGGGCTAAATACAGAAAAAGAGATACTCACAAATGCAAATATGTAGCAGGTGAATTAAATATTAGTGCAATACTATATATGCTTGGTGTACTATCATGGGGAAGATGTCTCTCTATTTCTGTGGCCCTCTTACTATTCAGCATTACTAGGTTACTTTTGGTCTCTTTCCAGGTATTAGGTATGCTGATCTTTTATTCCATCTTCTCCTTGTTAGGTCCCAGGCATGCTGTTTTTCTTTGACATGTAAATAAAGTGGTTATATCAATCCATCTCACATGGGTGTCATGGGAAACCTCAGTCCAGTAATATCTACTGTGGCTGCCAAAAGACAAACCCCTTGAAGTAACCACAGGTTAAATAATTTTGATTAATATTAAAGAGTCTGAAGTATGAGTTGGGTCCAAAATGTGGTGTTATTCATAAATGTGTAGGGTGCCATCCAGAAGCTGACAGAGCTAAGCATTTCTAATGGTAGTGAGAGCAGAGAGGATACTGATCCTTGAACCTGAAGTATGGTGCACAAGAAAAGCACTACAGGAGCCAGCAGAGCTAATGTACTCACTTACCTACCATGACAAGAGCAGACATTCCATCTCTATGCACAGACATCTCCCAGCTAGGCTGTAGGATGCACAAGGCTTTAAAACCCATGTAACCAGCCCATTTCCTTTAAGTCACTAGGTATAATAGGCATCTTTACATATGCTCCAGAGGTGGGGAAGGGGGGCTGTTTTAATTAGAGTGGCTTTGAACGCCACTCTAATTAAAATGCCTGCAAAGTCTCATATATTCAGCATCCTGCACTTGAAAATGGTGGCGGGGCACTTTAACTAAAGCTTGTTTGATGAGATTTAGTTAAAACATCCTTACCACCATTTTGAAGTGCTGGGACACTGAATACACAAGATGCTGAGGCTGATGGAGCATGTTAATTAGCATGCTCACTGTAATTACAGCATGTCAGAGCAGCATCCCTGCACATCTGCAGACACCCAATAGAATAAGGACTGCTTGATACTTCGAGGGCTGAGGCAATACATAGGCCTTGCTCTGGTGCTCTGTCCAGAAATTAATTTAACTTTAAGATATGTTGCTTTGCTACTGCATTCTATGCTTGTAAGCAGTAGCAAAGCCAGAAAGAAATCCCTTCAGAGAGGGAGGTACAGTAATGAAGGACCTGAGAGTATGGAACCGTGAGTTGCTGTTGCAAGGAAACTGTTGGATAAGATAAAGTAAAGGTTGCATGAACCTAGAAATCATTCTTTTACCATTTCTTGCATGTGGCTTTCTAGAGAAGGGCTGCAATGATACAATCCTGGCTCTTGACTTGCTCATTGATAAGATCAATAACAAAGGAAGGGAAATGCCTCTACATTCAGACTGCTGGCCTGGTGTTATTGCCTCCAGCAGTTGTTATACTGAATCTTGTTTTAGGGGTGTTGGTTACTGCTGGTCTAAGAGAGGGACAGGCAATTATTTCGGGTGGAGGGCCGCTTACTGAGTTTTGGCAAGCCATTGAGGGCCGCATGATAGGCAGCCAGGGGCAGATAATTAATAATTTTCTAAAATTTTTAGGGGCCCCATGGGCCAGATAGAATGGCCTGGCAGGCCACATGCAGCCTGTGGGCTGCATTTTGCCCACCCCTAGTCTAAGGACATACGCAGATAAGGTTCTTTGGGTGTTTGTGCCCAAAAGTTTGTGAAGAACATTTTTTCCAACTATTTAGTTGGTCTAATAAAAGATATCACACATACCCAAAGAACTTTGTCTGCTAATGAATCTTGTAATGTTTGGCATGTTAGGACCCAGCTCCTAGGGTCATGTGATTAGCTGAGAATCTTAGGGCTGTGCATGGCATAGGTTCAAGTCCTTCCTCTGCCTGATACATTAGCCACCAGCTACTGTCTCTCTCTCTCTCTCTTTCTTGCCCAGTGAAGAGTTCCTAATACAAATTATAACTGCTCCCCGAAGAGAGAGACACCTCAGAAAAACCAATAGGCTGGTGGTCAGGGAACTCTGTTGATACACAGAAGACTCAGTTCAAGTGTCTGGTCTGAACTGGACAGAGAAGATATTAGAATCTGGGACTCCTCTATCCCAGGCTATTGAATATTAGAGTCTTCACTCTGGCTCTGACCAAAAATTCTAGCCTGAATCTAAGAATTTTTTCCATGAAAGTTTAGTAAAATTGGTACATGCCAGTGAAAATGTCACTTCACATTACATTTATTTTGCTGAAAAAAATCCTAACCAGGTGGAGAATGATTTCCCAGCAATGCTTCCAACCAAATCTAAGGGCTTCCCACTTCATCTTTGCTGCTGCTCCTCAGATGATTTATTTATGAACTGACAGAAGTAGAGCACAAAGCTAATAGAGATTCCAGCTTTCTGAGAATCCATTTGTATGGGCTTGTCTACAGGGGAACACTCAGGCCCTTGTTATATGCTGCACTTTGAGCTGCGCAAATGTTGATCAGTGTCAGTGCTAGCTCGAGTTTGGAACCAGAGCCCCTAGAGGGCTGGTGAGCAGGGGCGTGACTAGGAGCTACAGCTGTGAGTTGCCATTATGGGGCTGGTGAGCCAGGACAGCCTTTTATCCCTGCTGTGGGTGAGAAATGGGTTTGGCAGAGAAGGAGGGACATGAAGCTGGGAGACAGAAAGTTAATGGGTTGGGGGTTGATAATGAAGCGGGAGATGGAATGGGGGTGGGGGAAAGATGGTGAAATGCAGGAAGTGAGCTGCTGAAGGATAAAACAGAAAGAAATAAAAATAAGAAAGAATTGAAGAATAAATAAAGAGGAAGTAAATTAAAGAAGGTCTTGTGTTTTAATAAATTGGGATTTGGGATTGGGATAGGGGGTACTGGTTGTGCTTCTTGAGGTAGCTGGGGGATGGGAGCAGTGAGGGAAGGCACTTCTGGGGGAGTTACTGAGGAAAGAAGCCTCAGCTCATGGGCACATGACCTAGCCCCCTAACTTGTTCACTCCCACCAACTCCCCTAGACTACACTCTTGGACATGTCCATGCCCTGCAGCTTGACTAGCTGGTATGTGCTCTGCATGCTGTTTATATGGGGTTGCACCCCTGGGGGTGGGAAGTTTCCACCCCCATGGAAGGGAAGGGGAGTTGGCTTGGTGCCAGAACCACCCTCTGGGCAATGGAGTTCAGGGTGTAGAAAGTTTGTCCACACAGAATAGGAAGTTGGGGGAGGAGGTGCTTCATCCTGGGATGCTGGAGGACTGCAATTTGAGCAGCTCGTCTCTGAGAAGTGGCCACACATTAATGCAGGGGTGGGCAATTGTTTTGGCTGGAAGGCCACAATGAGTTTTGGTGTTGAGAGCTGCAAGGGCAGCCCCACCCCTGGACAGGTGCCTCATCCCCTGGTCACCACCTTGGGACCAGGAGTCCCACCCTAACCCTTGACCTTTGCCACTAGAAGCCCCTCTTCTTGTCCCCGGAAGTATTCCTTTTGGGATGGGAGGGTTGCCATCTTGGAACCATAAAAAACCCAAATCATATAATAAAAGTCAAACATTTTCAATACATATTTTAATTTTATTACAAAAAATATTTTTGTCATGATTTGTGTTTGCATACTGTATATAGAGGGGACTGCATAATAACTCATAGAGGATGCTGGGGGGTGTATATTTGGGGGGTTGTGGGAGCGGGTTGTGGGTGCATGGGGGTTGTAGGGTGTGAGGAAGGATGGGGGTGTGAGGCCCTCCCAACACTCTCCCCTCATGTTGCACAGCTCTCACCAGCCGTGGCAGAAGCAGCAGCAGCTCAGGGTGCTGATGGCCCATGCAGGCACTGCTGCCTGGTGGCACACGGCTCCACACGTACAACTCGTGGCACTCGTGCACCATCAGGGGGAAGCCCTACACAATGGAGTCAGCTGCCTTCCCTGCCCCCTGCCATGCAGGTCCCAGGACTCCACTGGAAGTGGAGAGGAGCCCTACCCTCTGCTTCCCAGTGGAGTCCTAGGACCTGCATGGCTGGGGGCGGGGAAGGCAGCTGGCTCCATTGCGTGGGGCTTCCCCCTGGTGTTGTGCGAGTTCTAGGAGCTGCATGTGCACTGCAGGGAGCCCCACATGATAGAGGTGGGCCGGCTTGGCTATGCTGCTTGCCACCACATGCAGCACTGGCCAGAGCCAAGTGCCACCAGGCAGCAATGCCTGCATGGGCCATCAGCACTCTCAGCACCCACCTCCTGCTGCTGCCGCCACCAGTAGTGGGGACTGTACCTCATGGGGGGGAGTGTGTGGGACCTGCCTCCCACCCTGCCTCCCACCCTCCCTCCACACCCTACCCACCTGACCTCTGTGCTCCCGCTGCCCCTCTGGACATGGGCTCTGTATTCCCGCTGCCCCTCTGAGCACAGGCTCCACGTTCCTGCCAACCCCGTGCTCTGTGCTCCTGCCCAGCTGCAGCTCTCCTCCCAACCCCTGCTACTTCCCCACCTGTTGTCCTGAGCGAGCGCTGCAGTAAGGAGATGAGGAGCCACTGGATGCTGGGGAAGCCAATGGCTTCAGCAGTGGCAGCAGCAGCCCCGCCTGGAAGCTGCGTGCTGGCTGGGCTTTTCCATGCACAAGGGAGCAAGGCATGTGGGCTGAGCAGGGTACAATTATTTGGTGCATGCCTGTGGGCCAGATGAAATTGCCTGGTGAGCTGTATCCGGCCTGCGGGCCATATTTTGCCCACCCCTGCATTAATGGACCATAAGCTAGGTAACACAGATCAGAGATGAACCTGCCCTGAGTGGTGTAACTTTAAGCTGCTTAAAGAGTGCATAAAATTTTTCAGGTGTTTATGTTAATACACAAGGGGTTAAGAACTCCAGGGGCTGCCTAAAATTAATGTGTAACAAGGCCCTCAAAAGTCAAACTTAATTAACAAAAACATATGAACTGAAAGATTGTTTAAACTGGTTTAAACTCCTGTGTGGATACTTTTATTCTGAAAAGAAATGGCCTTAATTCAGTTTAGCTTGAGACTCTCAGCCACATTCATTCTGAATAAGAGTCTCCATCAGTGGTTTACTGCAGTGTAACTGATTAGCTTTAAAACTCAATTTAGATTACGTTTTTCTGAGTGCCGTCATATAGATGAACTCTATACTGCACACATACTGTTAGAAATAAAGTTGGAGATCATCTGTTTGCCCAATAGCTCATACACAACATGTTCCCAGTTCTGTGTGCTTTGTAGCCTACAACTGAGCACATCACAGTGGTCCATAATCCTCATTCTTATAGGAATCACTGGCAACCAAAGCAGCTCCCCTTGTCTTTGGCAAGAAAAGCTTGGTATTATGTCATTATAATGTGATGGGTGGTATTACTACTAATTTTTGTGTCTAAAGATTAATATTCATTTGATTTATTGGGCCATGCCTCCTCCCCAACAAGTTAGTTGGATCTATTGTGATACTTTTGAAACCTGAACTGAAACTGCACAGTTGTGTTGTTAAATTCCATATGTGAAAGGCTTTCTATTCTCTGTGGGAAAGAGTAAACTCCCATATCAAAGATACAGCTATCCCCAAACCCTATGTCTCCCTGATTCATTCAGAAGTTAGCTGCTGAAGTTGTTGTAGAATTGTAGTTATTCTGCTAACCTTTCCACTCTGCATCTATTAAGTCTAAGTTTTTCCTGTAGAAAGTTAAGCCGTTCGGTACATAGACATTACCTGTGGAGCTAAGCTTAATTGTACTTAGGTAGCATTTACTTTCTCTTTTGCTTCTGCCTCCAGCTGCAAAGTGATACTGAGAAGAGAAGTTCTGTGGGACTCTTGCATATTCAATACTTCAAGTTCTCTATAAATAGACTTAGAAATAGTATTAAATCCTGGCCCATAAAATTATAATCCTATGCTAAACCCCCTTTGTATTACATTTGTTTTGCAAGATAAGTCATGTCAAGACCCTTCATTTGGCCTTTGTATAGTGCTGCTAGTCCCTGTGATTAAACGGGCTCATTCCAGACCATGTACAACTTCAGTGAGCCCAATTTTTATGATTTAAAGACATCAGTTTTAAATATTGATACTGTGTTACTTCCTTAAAAATGAACCACAGCCTGTAAAAAAGAGAGACATTTCTCCCCTCCCATCCAAAAGATACCCTTCACTGCTTCTCCAGCAGCTGTAATCTGCATTCATGTTGATCTCCCAAGTTTGTTCTTCCAGAGACATGTTCCTCATGGCCTAGAATCTGTCTGGCACAAATGTAGCAGTGCCACTCAGATAAGTGTCTTTGCAGGCACCACTTTAATTCAACATAACATTGTGAGTTGGTGTCAAATAGAAACTGAATGTTTTCCTCAAAACTGCTCACGTTAATCAAATATCTTGACTTGTCACAGTGGTTCTAATCACAAGGAGAATAAATACCTGATTGTGGTGACGGATGGTCATCCCCTGGAGGGGTACAAGGAGCCTTGCGGAGGACTAGAGGATGCTGCTAATGAAGCCAAACATCTGGGGATTAAAGTGTTCTCTGTGGCCATTTCGCCTGACCATCTGGTATGAATCTCAATTGAAGCCCTTATTCTGGTATTATCCTTTTGTAGGCAGAGCTGCAGGGGATGAAAGCAGAAACAGGATATTATTTAGTGCATTCAGTTAATCCTTTTTTTGCTTCAGAATAACCCATTTCCTATAAGGCTTCAAAGCCTTTGTATGGTTGCAGAAAAGGCAGGCACTGTATGGTCTTTTTGTCTTAGCTTAAGATTTTCTATCTGAAATACCGGACTGATGGATTTATGTAAGTTTACACCAGGAGTTTGATACTATAGCTTTGACAACTATGGAAGGTGATCCCAAACTAGATTTCTCAATCTAATACCCACCCCACACTCCATCTTTCAGGAAGTTTCCAGATCTAAATATTGTGCTGCTCTGTTTCCGTATGCAGATTAGCATTGCTTGCACACTGTGGTGAAATTTTCTTTAAGTCTGTTCCTGACTCAGTTGGATTCAAAATGATTGTCTCTGGCAGCTTGATGAGACAAGCAGACAAATACCTAGTCCAGCTTGCATTAGTAAAACAAGTCATGTACATAAGTGAAGGATTTTGGTGACTGTAAGGCAAAATAATAAGTTCAGGATGATTAATGTGACAGTAGTAAAGGCATATAGGAGCTAAAATGTTTTCAGCATTTTTCTAGTGTGTGAACAGAAACAGTGTTCTTAACAGCAGTGCTGCCATGTACAGAGCCGCAAGATGACTTAGAGATATGATTTATAAAGGCAGTAAGGCCCAGGAAGAATTTTTTCACCTTGAAAGCATAATTTGGTGATGGGGATGGGTGGAGGGCAGGAGGGTTTTCCTTCTGCATCAGAAATTGGCCACCGCTACAATTAGAAATTAGAGGGTTGTATTTGTTGAAGTGGAAAACCTCTCCATTTTGCTTACGTGTTCAGGTTTAAACCAATTGGCAGATTTGGAGTCAGGAAGGAATCCCCACTATGGTCAGACTGGCTGGGAACGTTGGATGTTTTCTGCCTTTCTCTGTAATATAGGATACGGTTTTCTTCCTAGGATCATTTGCAGGAGAGACAAGGATTTTGTGTGATATCTTTTATTGGACCTGCTCTATAGTTGGGACAGCTGTTGGATGAGCTTTTAAGCATCAGGTGCCTGTCTTCAGGTCTCAGACCTATGCAGTCCATCCAATAAAAGATATCACAAATGCCTCTTGTACATTTCCTGGACCATCAGGGCTATAACTGCACTCCAGCTCTACTGCTAGGAATATTTGGGCATCTTTCACTTAACAAATTCCCTCCTACTGCAGGGGCATATGGCATTAGTAGCATCCTTGGTTTCTGCTACTCTCTCCTTGTGGCATGTTATAGTTGCTGAGACCTTTGGTGCTTTGTACTGAAGATCCTAAGTAGGTTGTAGGGTGATAGCTGGGGTGTTTTGTGGCTTCAGATGTGTGGTGTAAAAGTGGATTTTTTTTTGGACTTAATATCAAATACCTGGTCACCTGTAACAGCATGGACTGGGCTGAATTGTCATCTGAGCCAGCCTTGGATGGGAGGGTGCTTGGGAAGGCACTTAGGTACCTGTATCCCTGTAAGTCTGACTTTGCTCTGTCTTGTTGTACCACAGGAGCCAAGGCTGAGTGTAATTGCTACAGACAACAACTATCGTCGCAATTTTACAGCAACCAGCCTTATACAGGCCCCGGCTGACACGGAAAACACAATTGACACCATCATTGATATGATTGTGAGTATTCTCTTCCTCTTGCCTTCCTGTTTGCTCTTCTTTCTAACCTACTGCACAGGCATGATACAGTTGGTCATGCTGTTCCATGTGATCTCATCAAATGCTCTTTTTTCTTTTCTTTTTCAGAAAAATAATGTGGAACAAGTGGTGAGTCTTCCAGTTATGTTTCTCCACATGCTTGGGTTCCCCTCTAAACCTACTGCCTCCACCATCTGAAATGGCACTTCTGGGAGTACAACATAACAGTGAGCCCAGTATCTTGAAGGCCCTGCTTTAACAGTCTGTGCTATAAAGAGCAGTAAGCAGGAGCAGTGTGGCTACTCACAGGCCCTGGAGAGCTAACCTGAGACTACTCTGCACTCCAAAAGAATGAGCTCAGGTGGCTGAGAGAGGTTGCTCCTGTCTTGCTGAATCCATGCTTGAAAGTCTTCTTGGATAGCTCTCCTGACATTGGCTGGCAAAAGTGCAGCCTGCAGTCCCGTAGCAGTTGCTACCAGCTGATAGAAGGTGCCCAGTGGGGTGGAGCCTGGCTAGACACAAAGCTTACAGTGCTTTGGATCAACCAGACCAATCAGTGTTGCCAAGAGTACTAATTCTCCTCAGGTCCAGAGTGGATAGGGGGATATGTGCTGGTATCTTCTCCCTTAGGGAAAACTTGACCTCCCTGTGTAAGGCAAATGGTTAGTTTGTAGACTATGGTCTTATGTCACACCACATCCCTTTGATGCCTAGTGACATTTTACAGCAAGACTTGCTGTCCAAGGCTGTCTATCTGTAAACATGTCCCAGTCCAACTTGCCCATCACTATCCAGGGTGGCTGAGTTCAGGTGTGGGTGTGTGGCAATTGAATGTTTCAGTTCTTGCCTGGGAGTGAGGGTTTGTTACTCAGATATATCCATCATCCTGCCCCTTCATGCCTCTAATGCTTTACTTTTTCCTATTTTCAACAGTGCTGCTCCTATGAGTGCCAGGTGAGTAGCTTTCTCAGCCTTCTATTAACTCCTATTGAATACATTTTTCTCCATGTTTGATTATGTGTGGCCACTCTAACAATTATATCTTCCTGGTCTCTTACAGCCTGCTAGAGGGCCTCCAGGGCCACCCGGGGACCCAGGATATGAGGTTAGTAAGCAAACATCAACACTAGCTACCATACCAGGTAATAAGGGTATATCACAAGAACAGAAGCTGTTTGTGCTGGAAAGACATGGGCAAGACACTAGATGGGATGTTCCTGGTTTCCCAAACCTATATATTTGCCATCTAGTTCTATGTGGGTGGTTATCTATCCTGTAGCTGTCCCAAGCAAGGCTTATTTTATCAAGACAATAATGATTAATGGTTTAAGCAGAGAACAGCAGCAGTGGTTTTAACTTTGTTACGCCACTTGTCCCGCACTAAAGCTTGCCACCTTCTGCCAGATATTGCTGCTGCCTGATAGCTTACAAAAGTACCCTCACTTTGCCTACACCCCAGCTGTATCCTTTAAAGTCTAGTCAGAAAGACATGAATAAGGGTCCTATATGGATGCTGCTCACAGTCCTATCTGGCCAGCACTGGGCAATATCAAGTACTTCTCTCCTTGGAGGTGCCAAAAGTAGGTCTATGATATTCCCACCCCACTCCCAAATGACAAAAGAAGCACTGCTGCTGGGACCTCACCTTTGAGTGAGTTACTATCAGCAGGGAGAACAAGGTGGCTGATGCTAACCAAATGCAAAGCAGTGTGAATGAGAGGAGCAGGGATGGGTTCAGAACCATGCCTTCATCTCCACCAGGAATGTGGTGAAGGGCACAGCAAGAGAAGGTTATATATTACTTTCCCATGAGGCAAGGCCCTGTACTCTACAGGCTCCCCTGGTACTGGGAGGCCTTATGATGCCTGTAACCAAAAAGCTTCCATCCATACTGGCTATGCGAAGTACCCCCTTCTCCTGCACTCACTTACCTTCAGTGATTACCCCCACCCTTCCCCAACCTCTTTCACACGGAGTATAACAGTAGCCCACTTTTTAGGAACTGTCAGGATCACTTTCAGGACCATGTTTGCTTTTCTCTGATGTTCAGTAAGTAGAGATGGGGAGAACATGAGAACAAGGCTTTGTGAACCCATTGTTACAATTTCCAATATACAGAGTTTACTTCTTTTTCTTATGGTAGTTCTAGAAATGTATATCTTCTATGAATCAGAAAGGTCCTTGTCACAGACATCAAATATATGAAATGTCACATTCTTAGATGTTGAAACTGGAAACACATCCAGCAGAGTCTAAGAGTAAGCTAATAAAATGCAAATTCTTTGGGCCAAATTTATCTGAGGTGGATGATCTGGACCACTTTTGTTTCATATGAAAAAATAGGATGCAATCATGTCTTAACTTCATTAATATTTTGTCTTCTAGGGGGAGAGAGGAAAGCCAGGTCTTCCTGGGGAGAAAGGAGACCCGGGAACGCCTGTAAGTAGGGGAATGACTGGTGTCACTTTGACTGGGAGGCTGCAAGAGAAGCCACACTTTGACTGGAACTTTCATAGTTTCATAGTTTCTAGGGTCAGAAGGGACCTGAGCAGATCATCTAGTCCGACCCCCTGCCATGGCAGGAAAGAGCACTGGGGTCAAACAATCCCAGCAAGGTGTTCATCTAACCTCCTCTTAAAAACCCCCAGGGTAGGAGCCTGCACCACTTCTCTTGGAAGTTGGTTCCAGACGCTAGCCGCCCTGACTGTGAAGTAGCGCATCCTGATAGCTAACCTAAACCTACCCTCTGCCAGCTTGTGACCGTTATTCCTGGTTACTCCTGGTGGTGCTCGGGGGAACAGGGACTCCCCCAATGCCTGCTGATCCCCCCTGACTAGTTTATAACAGGCCACAAGATCCCCCCTCAGCCTTCTCTTTTGGAGGCTGAACAGGTTCAGGTCCCATAGCCTCTCCTCATAGGGCCTGCCCTGCTGTCCCCTGATCATGCGAGTGGCCCTCCTCTGGACCCTCTCCATGCTGTCCACATCCCTCTTGAAGTGTGGCGCCCAGAACTGGACGCAGTACTCCAACTGCGGCCTGACCAGTGCCGCATAGAGGGGGAGGATCACCTCTTTGGACCTGCTTGAGATGCATCTGTGGATGCATGACAAGGTACGGTTGGCCTTCCTGACTGCCTCCCCACACTGCCGGCCCATGTTCATCTTGGAGTCAATGATGACTCCAAGATCCTTTTCCGCCTCCGTGCTGACAAGAGGGGAGTTCCCCAACCTGTAGGTATGGTGCCGGTTGTTCCTCCCCAGGTGCATCACCTTGCACTTGTCTGTGTTGAAACCCATCCTATTCTCATCCGCCCACCCTTGCAACCTGTCTAGGTCTGATTGTAGCCTGTTGCTTCCTTCTAGTGTGCCCACGTCCCCCCACATCTTAGTGTCATCAGCAAATTTGAACACTTCCTTTAATGATTCTTGTGAAACTTGGTAGAGCTTCAGCTTCCACTCAGCCTGCTTTTGCCCGTGCCCAAACACCTTAGCTCTATGTATTCACCTTCTTCTGAACAACCCTGCATTATGCTAGAGTCACTCTTCATAAATGCATTGGGAGGATAAACACAAGTGAGGGGAAAGAGCTCTCTAAGGTTAAAGGGAAAAAGGGGCACATGAACAAAGCCATATGAAATGGCCACAAATGAATCTAGGCTGAAGATTAGCAGGAGGTTCCTAACCATTATGGCTGTCAGGTTCTGAAACAGCCTGTCACTAGGAACAGTAAGGGGGCAAGAAACCTAAGTGGTTTTAAAGTGGAGCTTGATAGGTTTATGAAAGCAATTTTATGAGATAAGTGCCTGCAATAGCAGGAGACTGGATTTGATGGCCTAAGAAGTCTCTTCCAGTCCTGTGCTCTGTGTTCCCGTGTTGCAAAGGATGATGGACTGGGTTCAGTGTCATCTGTGCAGGACCAATTAGGAAGCCAACCAAAGTAGTACATTAAGTAACAATGGTTACCAGAGCAGTTGGCAAAAACAGGCCTTTCAATTTTCGGTGGATCAGGTAGCAAGTAAAATCCACAAGGGTAAAGACTTCCCTGATCATTCTGAGTTTGAAACGTGGTCCGCTCTCCTGAGAACTCAATGTTTTGTTGTTGCTGACCCTAAAATTGCCCTCTTTTTAGCTCTTCTTAGAGGCTTAGCAGCATTTTCATAGGCAAGATTTGTGCTTGGCTCCCATCCCAGTCTTACAAGAACAGTTCAGAGAAGCGGAAAGAGGTAGTTGTAGCCAAATAGATGTAGCTGCCAAGGTAACTATAATCTTGGAAACAAGGGCTCTCATCCCCCTCTCCACATCCAGGCAGGGTGCCCAGGTTTCTGTGGAACACCACACAAGTGGTGTGGACAGTGATGATGCTGAGGCTGGCTCAGATGGGCAGGCCTTCCTCCTCTCTGTAAACCTCTGGCCACAAGGCATGCTTGTTCCACACCCAAAATAGCCACTTTTTCTAGAGGGTATTTCTCTGAATCAAATGTCCCATCCTCCACCCCGCATTACTATGTATTTTATGCTCTGATGCCCCTTTCCTACTAAAAACAGGGCAGTGTTAGAGGCTTGTATTTTAGCAAATGATCTTCAAATAGGATGAGGAAAACATCCTCCCATTTCTCCTCCCATTTTTATAAGGTACGTTTATTTTTAGAGGTGTATTTTCCCCACACACATTACTGCAGTTAGTCAGCTTGTGTATTTTCAACCTTGAAATACCTTAGAGAGAGATTCTTGCATAGACTTAATATTCATCCCAAACAACAACACCTCTTAATGTGTGCAATTTCCACACCCCTTGAGATGGGCCACATTTTTACAGTGAAAGGATCAGAGGGCATGAATGGCTTCCCTGCTTGCCTGAAGAAGTAATTAGGTTTCCTTCAGCTAATTAAACAGATCAGATGTTTGCAACATGGAAGCTGATGCATTACTCTCTGCTTGTATATAAAGAGGGAATTGCTCAATATGATTTACCAATGAAGTTTGCATTCCAAGTCCAGGAGCAAAAATTGCTTTAAAATGCCCTATGTATCTCCGGCTGAAATAAATCTGTAATTTTCCTTTGTGTTTGCTGATTGGAGGCCAGATGAAGGAAACTGGGCATTTGATGAATGATGAAAAGTGGATGCAGATGATGAAAAGTGGAGAACAAGTCAATGTAGAATTAGAAGAATAAAATGAATCAGGAGACAGATATTCCAGGAATGTGATGTTTTGAGGCATGTGGGCTTTTTTAAAAATGTAGTTAAAAAGTAGGGATTCATCAAGGAGAGAGTTGGAGTCACCAGATCCCCTTGGTGACTGCATATTCCCAGGATGCTGCAGAAAAGCAAGAGAAGTAGCTGCCTGTGTTGGCTAGTTCTTTCCATAAAGTCTATAACTTGTTTCATTTTGTCCCCTAGGGACCACCAGGAGACCTTGGACCTGTTGGCTACCAGGGGATGAAGGTACGTCAAGTGTCCTTTACAGCTTGAGGTAGAACTTTACTTGTGTTGTTTCCTAGACTGTATTTTGATGCCTATGTGCAATTAATTAATTTATTTTTCTTGTCTTTGGTGTTTAGGGAGACAAAGGTAGTCGAGGAGAGAAGGTGAGTATAGCATATGATGCACCTTCCTTGTCTTCTGTTCATCCCTACAGTCTTACTGCAACAACTATCTACCCTCCCTGTGTTCTGTGAGAAACCTCTCCTCCCCACGCTGCTGAATGACAGTGGTCTTCACAGCTTTTCTCACTAGGTAAAGCACAATCTCCCCCATTGCCATTGTCAAAACACATGGAGGGAGGAACATCACTGTTGTTTAAGCATACTTCACTCTCTTGTCATCTTAGTGAGTCTGATACACACTTACACACACCTTCTATATGACTGGTTATTGGCAACCCCACCCATCACACTTGCACCAAGTATGGTTTGCTTCAGGAATCTGAAAAGAAGTAGGGTTTTTCAAGGCCTGTCAGGGATTCTGAAGTTGTCTGATGAACTCCCGTGGTGTTCGCCTGTTCAATGCAGAGCATCACCAAGCTGAGTGCTGTTGGCCCAGCATCACTACAAAGCTGCACGCTATGACCTTGTGTTGCAGTAAGGTGTGATCAGAGGGCACCTGCAGTGAAGGACCCTGTTCTATGGAATGAGGAGGAACTAGGTTTCAGGGAGCAATAGTCAAGATCAGCTATCCTTTTCTTTAACTGTGAAAGCTAGCATTCCTTGTGTGCCCACCTCTGATCTCTGTCTACTGCTCCAGGGCTGTGGTAGAAGTAACATCCTGTTCAGGATGGAGATAAAGTGCTACGGGCAGAAGTGAGTACATGCACAAAAGAGAGATGCTGTTTGCAAATGCAAAATGCCCTTTGGTGTGAATTTGTCCTCCTTTAGCTAGGAATGGGGCAAAGCCCCTTTTCATTTACTAGAGAACAAATGGCAAACTTCAAAAGGAGACACTGCATCCCTTATTTCCAGCCCTCCCCTGCTGCTCTGCACTGGGCTGATCACAGATATCAGTGTAGCGAAGACATGAATATGCTCTGCATATAGGCATTAACTTCTCTCTTCTCTCCCTCCACAGGGTTTCAGAGGATCCAAGGGAGCCAAGGTCAGTAGCAGCTTTTTTCCCCTCCCCCCCAATCATTCTTTTTTCTGTTGATGCTGTGAAGATGCAGTAACCATTTTTCCCTTGTTCTCTGTTTTAGGGAGAGAAGGGCAGGCGTGGTATTGATGGTATTGATGGCATGAAGGTAAGATTTGCCTTTGGGGCATGGAGGCAGGCACAGCTGTACACAAGTATTGCCACCCACAAAACCACAGGGTGTTCATACAAGAAAAACCTGCCACTGGGCCAGGAAGCTCAGGAGGCTTCCTACTCCCCATCTCCTCAGGCCAGAGAGTGATCAGGGTTTGGTGCAGAAGTAGGCCATGATCTGGGGACTGTGAAGCCACTGCAATGGGGGGTCAAGGAAAGAAGAACAGTGCAGCTCTGGCCCACACCCAACCCTCCAGCTGGCAGCACAGCCCCCCAGGTCCAGCTCGGGATCCTGTGTGCTGAGAGCTTGCCTCTCCATGGATCATGCAGAGCTTCCTCATTCTGCTATTCCTCTCATCTCTTTAGTGAGGGAAGGATTCAGCCCACAGTGAATCTACACTGTAGCCAACCCATTGCAGCAGTGTCTGGGAACACTGTGAGAATACATGAACTCTGTGGGATAGCTCCCATTATTGGTAGTCAGTCCCAAGCTCTCACTCAGGCTGGAGACCTACTGCCTTTGGGGAAGAAGGAATTCACTCAGAAATCACTGATAATTTCTATATTGAGACAAACAGCCATCTTAATTAACAATGGTTATCTCAGACAGCTGAAAAATCAGCCCTAGTGTCACTCCTCTGTCTTCAGTCGGGGACCTTCTTTTATCTGGATTCCATCTGATTATTGCATGCTGCAGGGGCTCATCATATCTATGCAGACTAGTTGTGCTCTTGGCTTCTCCTCTAGCACTGATCTTAGACCATTGGCTGGCTGTGTCCATGCAGCAGCAACATGTGCTCACAGTTAAGCATATGTCCTCTGTCCAGTTCCACCCCAGCATTAATCAATAGATCCAGAGCCAACTAGGAGTTGGGAATCCCATTCACTGACCCACTTGGGCAGGGTTGAATTCCCATGCTGGAGCTTAATACAGTAAGAGCTCCACACCTCCAGCTGCCTTCATTCCTATAAACCATGATGGCTCTTTCAGCAGGAGGATCATTGCAGGCCTTTTTTCTTTCCTAATAGGGTGAAGATGGATATCCTGGGTTACCAGGCTGCAAAGGATCTCCAGGATTTGACGTATGTACTTTGGTGGTTTGTCTTTCTTTAACATACCTTGTCTTTAATTAAAAGCACTGTAGAAAGAATGGCAATGCCTGTGACTGGGAATCAGCCTGCCAGCCACCTGGAATCTTAATATGTGGCACTTCCTGGGGCCCAGGAGAAATCACAGTGGAGAGGTGACATATTTGTGACTGCAGAGATGTGATGGAATTCCTCACCTCAGCCCTGTCATCTGAGAATAGAAGAGTAGGGGGGTTTAGGAGGTGGATGTAATCTGGTAGAAATTGTTCCAGAGTACCTGTGGATTTGCTGTTATTAGCCACATGTTGTTGTATACTTGTTTTATTCAAGAACATTCAGAGCACTAGATCAGAATGGATTCATTTTATAGAGCAAATGGAGATCTGTGATGATGATGATGATGATGAATCTGAAAGCCAGAATTAGCCATTAGAACAAGTTACCAAGGGAAATAATGGAGTTTCCATCTGTTGGTGCCTTCCCATGAAGAATGCATCACTTTCTGGAAGATGGCTTTGGCCAAAAACAAATTATTGAGATCAATACAGAAGAAACAGATTAAATTTAAGGATTATAGGAAATCAGGTTAGATGATCTGATTATAAGAAGTCAGATTAGATTATTTAACCGTCCTTTTAGGCTTAAACTCCATGAAATACATGCGTCTATGACAAAAGTCAGTCATATGCATAGGTGTCTGTAAGACTTTACCCTACCTTTGTGGATTACAGCTTCTCTCTTTAAAGACCCAAAAAATAAAACCCCAAAATTGACCATAGGTTAAAATAGAGGATTCTGAGTATATTGCACAGAAACATTTCAGTGAAATTCTTGATTAATAACTTAACCTTCAAAAGAGGTAATTGATTGTAGCCATGACACTTATGCATGATGATTACTTTCATAGTTGAATACATTTTTAAATAAAAACAAAGACATGCATTTCATGACACTTCAGACATCCTGAAATTTGTCAAAAAGTAGCAATTTTATTGAAGCACAGTTTTCAAACACAAAACCCTAAGGCCCGAATAGTCAAATGTGGAAAACCATTGCTTTTAGCCCTAAGTTATCATTAAACATGCAATGCACACAAACCTACTTGCTTGTTTTTTTCCTAGAAGGAGAGCTTCAATGTTTGAGAGAGGACAAAAAATGACACCAAGTATTCACCCATGCAAGATGATCCTCTAAAGGAATCCAAGATAGAAAGATGGTTATATATATGCAACGTTATTTACACTGGGCATTTATGTAGTTTTATCAGTTTGTACATTAGGCAATTTATCAGTTCATGGATTAGGTAATTAAAATAAATCTTAAAATTATAGTTATTCCACTAAAAATACTTAAGCTGTTTTAGGCTTGAAAATTTCCCAGATAGGGAACTAATTTCCCAGCTGTGTTTTGTATATAGGTCACCTAAAGATAATATGGGATATGCCACCAGAATAGTGACTATAGTCTAGTGTTAAGATACACAAGCCAACTTGATGTGAGCTAGCTGTAGCAATACAAAGCTCAACACGGGCAGCAAAATCTACCTGAAAAGCTGGGTGAATTTACCTGTGTTGACCTGCATGATGGGACCTGCACTAGCTCATTTAATGGTAGTTTGGAAATGTCTGTGCTACATTGCAGTCATTGATGTGAATGATGGGTGTTTGCATTCCATGAGATGGCTTTTAAGGGGCACTTTTTTCCTAAAAATTGTATAGGAACATGGGTGTAGCCTTTAGTCATTCATTTCTGTGTGTCAAATTGTGCCATCTTCTCAGGTGTGTCATTTGGAGGAAGTGATTTGATCCCTTCCTATTAGTCAGCTTATGGTACAGAACATAATGTTCCATCTCTGTTAATAAAAAATTCAAATAGAATTGCTATTGCTCTGCTCCAACAACTGGAATTTGGGCAAATCCCAAGGCAATGCAGTATTGCAGTTGAACCCCCTTCCAGCTGCAGTGAGCTCCCTCAGCTTACCAGCTGGTTGGTGTAGGCTCTTGCTGGAGTGGCTGCTTTAATACAGTTCCAGAACCCAAGAGGTGTGATGGCCACCGCCATTCACCCCTCCTTCTCCCCTGCCCCTAAATTTGGCATAGGGAAGGTGTTATGGGTGGAGGAACAACAGCAGTGGTCTCCCCCAGGCTCCAGAGACATGCAAAAGAAATGAGTCTGGCAAGAGCCCATCCCAACCAGCTGGTGAGCTCAGAAAGGTCAGGCAGGCACAGGCAGGCAGAGGTCTGTCAGGAGCCCATACTGATCAGCAGGTTGCTCAGGAGATCACTGAGCATGGGCCACGCAGCTGAAGTGCATGTGGTAGCACCCCCCTCATTCCTTTCCTGAATCCACCCAGGACCGAGATCACAAGCTGCTTTGTTTTAATTTACTTTTTCATTGCAAAAGCATATAAAAGTTTACAGCAGTTTTCATAAGACACAGCATGTGACTCAGCCCCATGAAGGCATGTAATTCTGAAATGCTCTCAATTTCCTTGGTCCCTTTACATGCGATTAATTTACTGATATGCCTCTTCAGTCAGAATGGTGGAAACTTAATTGGATATTTGGGATGTTTGATGCCTGTTTGATTTTCTATGTACATTGATACTAGCTTATTTGCAATAGGGATCACAAGGCCCTCCTGGACCTAAGGGAGACCCTGGTGCTTATGGCCTCAAAGGATCAAAGGTGAGTCATGAATTTCAGGTAGTATTCATTCAACCACACATCAGCTTCAGATTTATTCTGTCAATGGTACAGGGGATGGCAGGTCATTGTTTGCTAAATGAAAATTCCATAACGAAGCTTACAAGTGAGATGAGCAGACTTGGAAACCACTCATAGAAAATGTATTTAATGGTTAATGGTGAGTGATGCATCATTTATTGTTACTGAAGTTTCCTTGAATGCAAATTCATGGACCAAAATTAATACCAATGGAGCTGAGCTTCTAGTGCCAGCTCAGGGCAAAACTCTTGTAGACATCTGTGGGACTTGCGGATGCTCACCATTTCTCAGTGTGATGTCAAACATGCTTCTCTTGCTAGGCCTAGGGAAGTGTAGGAGTTCAACTATCTTGATTTTGTTACTGACCTTTTAATGGTCCAATTAATTTATATGCTGAGGCTTTCCCATGGTGGACTTCTGGGGTGAAGAAAAAATCAAGCTGGAGCTCCAAATAAATCTAACAACTGAACGCCACCTTGTATAAAAATGAGCAATTGTATAAAAAGTTACATAGTGTTAAAAAGTCTTCTTCATGGCAGCTACTGGTGGGGGATCCTTCTAGGATGACTAGCAAGCAAGGCATTCATTAGTCAAATAGGCTCTGGAGTGAAGCCAAGGAGTGCAGCGATTCATCCATCCTCAGCCTCCTTATGCTTGTTCAATTTGCATAATTCACTGCAGTGGTTCATGACAAATGTTGCTGTTCCAAGATGGGTAATCCAGAATAACGGTGAAACAATAAGGTGGGCTGTTTCTAGAGACATGTGAAATGTAAAATGTCAAAGTGCTAATGCTCACATCAGGTTTCATAAAAGAAGATTGAAATGACTGTCACCAGTAGCATAACCAGGGTGGGGCAACAGGGGCAGCAGCCCCAGACACCAACTTGGGGGAGGAGGGTGGAAAAATAAGAGCGTTCACGACAGCTGTACAATCATGGCCTCTATGTATCGTGTTGCCCTGGGCACCCAGATGCCTTGTTACACTTCTGGCTGTCGCTGAATTATTTCTGAACGTTCTTAAAATATCAGCCATTACACAAAACTCCATGGTGCAGACTATGCATAGTTTTTAACCCTCCAGCAATGTTTTCAGTTTGCTGAACATTGTGCTTTATAGCAGAGATTCAGCAAGGCAGCCCTGGTTCTATGGCTTGTGGGCATCTAGAACCATCACATCTTTTTTTTTTTTTTAAATAGGCATGTTTCCAAGGAGGTTTTGGGTTTTGTCAACTAAAGGAGTTAGAATTTTGGAAGCTCAATTTCTTGACTTACATTCTGTCACCCCAAGGCTTTTCAGTGCTCTTAGCAAGTTTTCATAAAACTATGCTGAGCCTGTTAATGTAACCTCAGAAATCTTCCTCCCTTCCTTTTTCCCTCTAGTTCCTATTATAACCTGCCTACAAGGTCAACAACCTGCTGTGTCCCTGTTCTGTTCAACAGCAGTGTAAAATTCTTCATGAACCTGGAATATTTTTTTTTGGAGGGTTCATATAAAACACTGTCCCAGGCTCTGAAGCCTTTCTCATAAGAATAGGTGACTCACCATAACATATCACTTCCTGAAATTTGCCAAGTGACCTGGAGTTAATATTAGAATGCACAGAAGCATCCACAGAATACATGCCTGCAATCCCGGCTTGGTTAGAGAATAGTACAAGGTGGATATAGAAGCCTGTTTGGTTTCATAGCTTCTCATTTTTAAACTCCTGTTTCCTTTGAGATGGATAAACATAAACACTGCCACTTCACATCCTTAAGTATAGAAGGCTCAAAGTGGGCAATTCTCTTGGAAGTTGGAAGAGCATATAGATAGATCTGCTTGTCCCCAGGCTGTTACTTATGTAGAGGGTAACAAAGACCCTCATGGTCTTTTACCCTGGATTTCTCTCTCTATGGCCTACAAAAAAAAAGATCTCAATCTTGAAGGGAAATAATTTGGGTAAGAACCTAGGAAATGTTTTTGATTGCTCACAATATGATATAACATACCTGAAATGTACTGGTTTAGATGAAGCAATTTGAGATGGGAACAGTGATTTTTATTTTTAATAACACTGTTTGGTTTTTTTGTCAAGGGAGAGCCTGGAGTTAATGGAAAAGCTGGTAGGCCAGGAAATCCTGGAAACTCTGGAGAAAAGGTCGGTAAAGTGCTTTCACCTAAGGCTGCCCCTCCTTTCACCTTTGTACTGTTATTCCTTCTCCATGTCTTGGTGCCAGGGCTATGACTAGCTTTATATGGCAGCAACATTGCCACCCAGTCAGTCACAGCAAGAATAGCTTTCTGCCTTTAGTTTCTTATTTCTTCTAAAAATCCAGACTCAAAAGCAAACATTGCTGCTTTGTCACAAACTTTTGAAGCAAATGGAGAGGGATGCATGAACAGTTTGAACAGTGACCCTGCTCCCTGTTAGTACCTACTCTCAAAACACTTACACAAGTGTGTCAGTCTATTCACGTGGGAACTCCCATTACAGGTGAAGAAGCAAGTGCTGAAGAAGCAAGTGCACATCTTAAAGTTTGATCTTCAGAGACTTTCCCCCTTGGCTGCAACCTTCTTGTCTGAAGGCAGAAGCTGTCCCTCTGGCCAGCTTTCTTCTTCTGAAGATTAGCTGTATTGTGTAGGTTGCAGCTGTAAAACAATGCCACAAGGCTTTATTTCAAACTCATCTCGGATTTATCTTGTTTGCTTTTGTCTGATTTATTTGTGTAGGGTCCACCTGGGAGTGTTGGTCCCCCTGGAGAGAAAGGGGAGCTGGGGGATGAGGTGAGTCATCTGTACTTTTCTGGAATGGATGATTACATTTGTTGGCAGCTTCAAGTGTTTTAACACTGCTTTTATTTTTGTGCAGGGAGCTCCTGGTCAGGATGGCCTTCCTGGAGAAAGGGTAAGAGACTCCTGCAATATGGCACAGTGATGAGATATAGGGCATTGTAACTGCTGTGTTTGACTAGTCCTCAACAGAGCTGGGGTAACTCAGCGTTGAGCATCAGGAACATAATGGTAAAACTAGAAGTCTGACAGGAAAGAAATTAATGGGTTTCTTCTCTTGATGTACACAGTGAGCCTCAGAGTATGCACTGAGGCTTTACCAACAGTGTGCTAGGGTTTAGTTCAGTCCAGTCCAATAATTCAGTCAGAGTTTTGAAGCTAAATCCTGTGCAAGTCCTTGAATGAGGGAACAAGACCTGAAACCTATGCACGACATTTTGTCTTGGATTCTCAGTTGCAGGATACTTCCATGTTGGCTCTGGAGTAACAGATTCAGGGGAGACCTTGGCCATCCTCACAGAGGCCACGTGTTACTTCTCTTTTCGTGGCCCTCAGCAGTCACTCCACAGTAGGCTATGTGGGGTTTGGAAGTGGTAGTGCACCTGAGGTATTTTGATTCTCCTGCCTCCTTTTACAGTTTACATGGTAGGAGGATAATCTGGTCCAATGCTATGACCTTCCTCAAAGAATCGTCCAAGATCTGTGTGACCAGGGCAAATGAAGAGCACGATGTGACCAGAGCCTGCAGTACTGTGTAGCGGGTTCTGAACCAGCATTTGCTTCTTTTCTAACAGGGCGGTAATGGAGAGAGAGGCCCACAGGGCACGTCTGGCCTTCGGGGGCCAAGAGGAGACAAGGTAACTACTGACTCACGATGCTATTTCTCTCACTGCATTGTCTCTGCCTGCTTCCGCACAGGTGCTTCCTCAGCATAACTTAGGAAAAGGCATGTATTAGAGAGTGCAAATATGGGTCCAATATCTGATCCCATCAGACCTCTTTCATAGGCCAGCACCTCATTGATTTCACCACTAGGTCAGAAGATAGCATGAACAGGCCCCTTCATGCATTCAAACAAATGTCTCCTATACCTGGTTTCTACTATTTACTAGTTGTTGTTTTTTTTTCATGAAACTGTGTACCATCGTGGCCATTGTTTCTGAGGGCTTGGATGGACAGATCCAGGTTCCAAAGGATTGTGAAATGTTAGCTTTGGACCTCTTAATCATGAGGGCTGTTATGCTCCCAGCCCAACAGTGCATGTCTGAGCAGTTCCTGTGGCAGTAGGGCCAGAGGGTGACAGTAGCAGTGGAAAAGAGTCTTCCTCCTGCCTGTGTACTTTGTGTATCTAGGTCTGTAGTATGTGGGTCCCAAATGTCAACAGTATAGCAGAGAATGTAGCCATCTGGTTGATTCTGTAGTGGTCCTGGGGGCAAAGCCAGCAAGGAGGGAGTTATGGGGTATGGCCCTGCTGAAGCAGCACAGCTTTACTCTCTGTAGGAAAAGTTCATCATGTCCTCTTGTCCTTCCACTCTGCCGCCAACCCTTCTTCCAGGATAGAAGAGTGTTAAAGGAAGCTGACAGGGATGGGTCTTTGGGTAGATGTGATATCTTTTATTAGACCAACTAAACAGTTGGGGAAAAGTTCTTTGCAAGCTTTTGGGCAAAAACACCCCTCTTCAAGCATTGGGGGCATTTATACACACAGTTTTGGGTCCCACAATGAGCCAGAGATCCGCCACTTCATAGCACGCTTGATTAATCAAGTCTGCTCTACATGCAAGTTGATGCGCACTGTGCTGCATCATGCACAGCCAGTGGTGTACCTAGACTCCTGGCAGCCCCAGGTGAACTTTTAGTATTGGTCCCCTTGTACATGCTCAGTATTAAAACTTTCTTTTGCAATTTTTTTCCCCACATTTTTCGGCCCTGAGTGGCTGCCTGGTTTGCCCATGACTGTGTTCAGGTCTGTGTGCAATTGTATAAATGGTGAAATGCATGTCACCATGCAGAAAATGGCAGTGGTGCACTTTTGAACTAAAGCACCTTCTATGTGTTTTAGTTCAAAAGCACACTGCCACCATTTTCTCAGTGCTGATGCACATTTCACCATTTGTACAACTGTAAGTGTTGTAGTGCCGGGTGCTTTTCAAAGCATCTGGCACTGCAGTGCATGCATGTGTAAAAATGCCCTGGGAGACTGCTGTTGTTCTGAGTTCTCCAAGGTAGAAAAGAAGCTAAAAGTGTGACAAGAAGTCTGTGAAAAGGAAGCTGCTGTCTCAGAGGCCCCAGGAAAAACTCCTTTCCTCCACGGAGATTGCTCACATTGGGAATGATTTTTGCTTTGGAATCTGGTACTTGGGCAGAAATGTTCCAACTTCTCCACCTCAAAAGTTAAGACAGTTGTGGAGGATAGCAGCAAAGCAAGGGACTGGGAAGGAAGAAAGAAAATGATAGCAGAGAAAATGAAGTGAAAATGTTAGAAGTGCTTGGCAGTAAATGGCTCTGAGTTTTCTTATGGCATTAGCATGAATCTGGTATTTCAGCTCCATGAATTCTCTGCATGAGGGCTGTTTCAGAGAGTCCTGTACAGGTTTTTAGGGTCACAGCAGACTCCTTGTTCCTGTGACTCATTAGAGAGTGTGCAGATGCCATTCACTGATGGGTGGTGAGCGGGAAAGTGTGTGTATATGTGGAGAAAGGGGGAGTTCTCCCTCAGTTCCCCTTTAAGAGGGGTTTGAGGTCTTCAGGATGGGCTGGGAGTAAGTAGGAAAGTATTTTGCCTGTCTGCCACTTGGTGAATCATTCAACAGGCTCATGAGGAGGAGTTGGGTGGGCAGTAGCACTCACTTGTCCAAAATCAACACACTGAAAACACCAGGCAATGCCACACTTTGTGTCAAGGAGATGGAAAATGTGCCGTTGCTTCGGGAGGTGGTGGTGATGAGGAATAAGAACAACAACAAGTAGGGCATACTGTACTGGCCTGTCACTGATGAATTACTGTCTGCCTGTCCCTCTCTTACATATGGTAAGGCTGCTGTCATTGCTGTTTTTTACTCTACAACCAAAACACAAACAAGTCTTTTTTCCTCATCTATGTTTTAAAAAATGCATGGTGAAAACACCTGGGAAGCTACCGCTTACTTACCAGCCAGATTCAGAACTGAGTCGGTGGAACGTGCACCCTGTGTTTTGCTTTTGTAGCCGGGCAACTGTAAGGATCAGTGCAAAGTATCTTGACTAAGATTTCCATATCTGTGTCCAAACAGCACAGCAGTAGTGATGTGTAAACTGTCACTCTGTGTGCAAGGCCTTTGAGGTTTGGAAATGCTCTTTATTCCATATATTCAGTGAATGGCTAATAGTTTTTGCTGAAATTGGTTATTTTGGGGGAGAGTTGCAGAACCAGCTCACTGGAGGAAATGCTCCCCCTTCACCATCCACCTCACTTTAAGCCAAGAAGCCAGTGATTCTCACTTATATGGGATGTCAGAAAGCCTGGGTTTAAAACCTTCCTCAGCCAAAGAAAACTTGAATCCCCAGGAAAGTGCCCTGTCCACCATATTAGTGTGTTATGGTGTTGACCTTTCTTAGTCCTACTGTTCACACTGTTCTTCAACTATATATTCATTGGGACAGAGAGAGTGGCCAGAAAGACTCTCCAAACCATGATCAGAGCAGTCATATAGAGCATTCAGGTTCGAGTCCTGGAGTCAATGAATATTTGATTTTTTTAATGAAGCGGAGCAGCTCCAGAAGGAGTTGGGTACAATCCACTGCTTGCCCCTGTCCGGAGATGGGTGAGACCTGGGTTGAGATCCCCTTTTTGTCCGTTTTGGAACAGGGATTTAAAATCAGGTCCCATATGAGTGCCCTCACCACCAAGCTATGGAGTCCTTTTCACTTTCTCTGATCCAGTGAATATTCATTTAAACAAAGTGATATACAATGAATAAGAGACTGAGAGAATATTCCTTCCCTCAACACTTTGCCCACCCCCTAGCCAGGCAGTTAGGCCACTCTCCTTGGAGATCAGAGATGTAGATTCAAAACCTGCTCAGTCTGCTTTGCAGCAGTGTAAGGCAGGTAGAAAAAGTTTCTTCGAGAGCTGTGAATTTTAAACATCAAACAGCTGCATCTGGTTAATAAAAAGTGGTTTCCTGTACTGGGCACAAAGTTCTTCCATCCCTGCAGGTCTTTCTCCTGCAAAGAGCTGTTAACAAGCAAGGGTTCTGGCAAGCTGTTCTTTTTGCTTGGCACCCTATCAAAAATCAGAGGTTCCCTTTCAAGTGTCACCCAAAACCTGCTGGTCTTGCAGAGCCATTTCACCTGCTTGTTACTTGGCATACAGGGCAGTAAGCAAGGCCTGAGGATGAGATGAGCATTGGAAGTGGTGGGGGAGGAAGCTTTTTAAGCACGTTCAGACACACTCCTCCAACTTGAAGCTGCTGGCAGCCCTCTGGGAAATTCCATGTGGTTCTGAACATGCCCCGTTTCAGACGGTCTGGCCAGCCAGAGAGGGGGAGAAGAATGCCCTCTACAACAAGTGGCTCTCACATCAAACTGCTCCTGGTCATTTATTTCTGCATCAACTCCACGCTCAAAAAGAAAGCTGTGGGATGATGGAGCCAACAGGCTCACAATAAGCCAGCCTGCTGCTAGATGGACAGAAGGCCATGTCAGCAGAGAAACTACAGCTGTGCAGAGAAAACTAAGATCTAGGAGGCTAGGTCTGGGATTCCCTACAGATCCTTTAGGTCAGTGCAGTTGTCATGTCATTGCCTTGCCAGCTGCCACCAAACCATCCTATGAATACATTCAGTGCTAGGTTTTCCCCAGAATATGCCAGAAATGTTTTACTACCTTCTCCCTCATGGATTGTGGATGGATTGTGAAAGCTTGGAACACCCCATTTCATCTCCACCGTTTAGATCTGGTGACTTTATTTCTCATATCACACTTTTCGCTTTATCTACACAAGTTTACATGCACAAACCATCAAGAAGAGTCACATAAATGTCTCCTGATGGCACCTGCAAGAATCAATTAAACTACATTCTCACGTCTAATTGATTTCCAATCAAGCATCAATCTGAATAAAACCAAATAATTTCCCAGAGCTGATGTTGGCAGTGACCACAATTTAGTAACGATGACAATAAAGCTGAAACTGAAGAAGATTGCAAACAAAAATACACTAATAGTGCAATATGACCTAGAAAACTCAGGGATCCCACAATAAAGGCTGACTTCAACGTAAAAATTGGAGGAAAATTTGAACCACTTCTAATGCTAACTGACTTACAAAACATTACAGATGGATTCATTCAAGCAATTAAAGAAACAGCAGAAGATTTGCTTGGAACGGCTATGAAAAAGAGTAAACCATGGATGAACAACAAAATCATGGAAATGTATGATGCATGACAAGCACTGAAAGCTAAACATTTTGATTCAGAATCTGGCAGTCTCAATTACAGAGAAGCACACAGGAATGTAAGAAATGAAATAAGAAAGGTGAAAGAAGACTGGATTCTGAACAGGTGTGAAGTAATTTAAAGTGGTTTTGAGAACAACAACAGCAAGAAAGCATTTGAGAGCCTGAAGATAACAAAAACACACTAAGCAAGAACAGTGGCTGTAGAAGACAAGAATGGAAAAATACTTACTGAAAACAATGCAAAACACAAGATATGGGCACAGTATACAAAGGAACCCTATAATTACAACATCCAAATGGAGCATGAGGTACTTGACCAGCTAGAGAAAGGAGTACCTGGAAACACTGAAGAGGAAGATGCAGAAACCTTAAGAAGCAGAAGAACCCATTAGATGCTTGAAGATTTAGCCAGTA